TCAGGAGAATGCAGGACACTTTTGTACGAAACTTTTTTTCGTATCTCCTATGGGGTTCCAGATCGTTTAGAAGATCGTTTTATCTGGCACGCGGTGTACAACATATGTTCAATAATTTTTTCTACATCGCTGACGTCAGTAACGTCCATGACGGCAAGTCCATGTTAAAAAGTGTCTCTTGAACTTTTTCATTTTTCCGACACTACATGTACGTATTATAATTATATTGTAATACACTATTATACTTTCTAGACACGAAGTAACTTTCTAAATAATGCATTAAGCATTGGTACCGAAAGCATTTTAACTGATCTATTTAATAATAATCTAATATAATATGTTCGAGTCCGAGTTCATTGATTTTAATTTTAATATAATTTCGGTTGGATTAATTTCAAGTGAATGATACAGCGTTTTATCGTGCATTTTGTAATCTAAATAATATACAAGTTTTAAGGATTTTATTTTTTATTATTTTTATTTTATTAAAGTTTGTTTTATTACATGTAGCCTAGACTGCAATAAGATATCTTATAACCGACAAAAAACACGAATTATAAATTTTATATCTTGCAATTTCACTTAAAAAAAGTTACATCTGTATAACGCTGCAACTAAGGGAACTATTTTGTTCTTTATTTGACTAATATGGGCATTACAATTTAGTTGCTGGTCAGGCATAAGCCATAAATATTTAATTTTATCAACTCTTTAAAAAGTAACATCATTTATCTTAATGTTAAACATATTATATTTTTACAATTTTTTGTTTAAATAAAATGTGTTTAGTTTTTTTAATATTTTTTTTAATTTGTTAATTAATAGACAGTTTTAGTATCCTTTTAAGTCATTGTTTGCTATATTTGCCAATACTTTTGATTTTTTTATGTATAAATTAAGACCGTATCATCAAGATATACAACTTATACAAGAGGGGCCCAAGGACGGAACCCTGAGGGATCCCACAATTATTAGCTATAACTCTGCTACTGCAGTCCTCCAGAGTTATGTATTTTCTGCGGTTGGTTAAGTATCATCTAATTAGGTTGGACATAATCCTGCTAAGTCCCGATAAGCAAATCATGATCGGCAACATCGAACGCTTTTCTTAAGTTCTCGAATACGGCCAATATAATATGTGTAATAAAATTTTCAAAAAACAGTGTATTAAATTTGAAGTCTAATTGCTTCAAAACAATAAATCGCTTTTGCAAATTTTTCCTAACCCTTGGGAATATTTATTGTATTGTTTGACAAACTTTAGTAATCCAATCCGGAACACTTTTTAAGCAAGATTAACTTTCGGAAAGTAACACTTTTTCTACTTAAATCGGTATCTTATCGTTTCTTTCTGTAAACACGTGAATTTGACCCCACAAACACTACTGATTTAAGTATTTTTTGAAAAAAAAAACTGCATATCCATGGCCGTGTGCGAGTGTGTTTTGCAAGGTTACAGAGCACAGCGTTGGTCAGTGCCAGACTCTATGCGACGTGACAGGGAACCTAACAATAGGACAGTAGCGGCTGGAATTGTTGGACAGTTTTTTTTTATTTTTTATGTATTGTTAAAAAACAATGCATTTGTTGGTACAGCGCTTGACTTTCCTTGGCTTCCCGTGAACAGCAACGACGCAAAGTAAATCCTGAGCTACGTCACATGTAAAACGTTGGCGTTTGCCAAAATTCATCTCAATGTATTTTTAGATGAGGAGTTGGTTTTCAAATATATGCCGCATTTTTTTTAATGCTAAATGTTCAGTTCATGACCTGTGTGACATTCATTCTGGAACAAATGTTTTGGATGCTTGAACGTTTTAGAAATAACTAGTGAATTTTTGCGTTTTGTTGGTTTTCTTTTTTCCTTTAACATTATATAATTTCCTGATCTACGATTTTATAACTAACGGGTGTCTGTTTTAGACCTAAAAAAATACGAAAACATGTGCTAGTATATTTCCAAACAACCTGTATTTTATATCTATGAAATATATCCAAAATTTACGAATGCTCATTTTTATTACACTAAAATTGTGTGTTGAGGATATTTTGCAGAAAAATAGTCTAAGCATCGGCCTAAGACTAAAATTTCTAATAAAATAAAAAATAAAGATTTCTAGACTTTCATTAAAATTTAAATTTGCATTAGATTTGCATAAATTTTGGACAACATAAAATATTTAATACTACGAATATTGTTGTTCGAAAATCACTACTACTGTGTATTAGTTTTATTTATTATTATCATTCAATGGTTATCTCTGCTTAAACGAATTTGAGGCCATCATGTTTGAAAACTATATTTTGACCCAACCGAAAATGCAAGTCAAACTTTCTGAATATTTATGAAGCAAACTAAGATAACTAGGTAACTGGGGCGAAAAGTTGCTCTTCTCTATTTCAAGCGAATTTGTGAATCGATATATGTATTTGAAGGACGGGTGCTTCTCTTGAGAATATTCGGTTGCAATATCTACGATATGCAGTGGCAGATTCGCAACGGCTTATTAATTATAATTAGTGGCAAAATTTGTAAGTAAATAATTCTAATAATTGATAGGTAGATGGGTCGTCCTCGAGATAATGAAATTTGCAAATCGAGTTAATACCCTTCAGTAGCACTTGAATAATGTTAAGCAGCTAATTATGCAGAATTAAGATGCTATATTTTAATTAGGATCTGTATAATTTTTTAACTATTTCCACTTTACGTTTTATTGTTGTAATTAGTTAGGTTTATGGTTTTTCATAAACCCAACAAGTCCAGGTACGGGCCTGCCAGCAAATTTGTTGCAAATTTACCATTGCCTTTCCGATAAATTACGTTGAACCAATCAAAATAAAAAAAACATAGCGGCATTAAATTGGTCTGACTTGAGTTTTTCGTCTTCAATTTAAATAGTAAAAAAATTAACCAGAACGAAAACGAGCGTCGTTGTAGAATCCATGGGAAAATGATAATTGAAAATATCTATAGAAATGAATTTGCATCCCTGCATTAGTGAGCTGCCCGGTAAATATTGAAAACCATATTTGTGAAAATTTTTTTTGGATGAATGATATAGTAGCTATTTTCTCCAGAAAGTACGATTTTACGTTTATATTACGGCTATTTAAATAGGTGTACAATTTATGAGTAGCTCTGTACAGATTGCTTTTATTTTTTTAATTATGAAGAGATGAATCTGATACTCCAAGGGATTAGATATTTGTGTAGGCTATTCTTCTTTCTTGTCTCTTTTTTTAAAACTTTAACTTAGTTTAGTTAAAAATCTATTTTTAACACAATTTCTTGACACTACCAGCTCTAAGTACTAGACGCCTGCCGTTGTGACAACTTAATTATAATAATTGTATATTGTTATTTTAACTAAAAAATTGTAAAAGAATTCTGTTAAACTGTTTCTACTTCGAAGAAAAAACAGATATAGATCTTCACAATTCTATGGAATACAAAACATTATTATTGGTCTAATTCAAAACAACTAAAACAAATTACGTAATTGACTTTAAATTCGATTGAATTATCTAATTCTGCTCACCAGGACCTACTTCCAAAGGACCATATTATAGATTTTTTAGTATTTTCTAAAGTTTTAATTTTCCTATACAGCAGCATTCAATGAGAAATTTATTGGTGTGAGATGACTCGCCAATGTTTCGAAAACTGAATACCGTTTTTTGCCTCTCAACCGACCAATAGGCAACATTTTTTCCCGAACAAAAAATTCTCTTCCAATTTAAAACAAATACGTCGCATTTTATGTGCACTTTCCTGTTTGCAGACATACAGCGGAAAACCATATCCTACGTACATTTTTAATTCCATTGAATTCCATCTGGTTCCCATAAACGACTGTAAAAAAAACACAATCGACGTTTGCCATATTCGCAGTTTTCCGATAAAATTAATTCCTTTAAATTGTTCAAACGTCAAAAATTTACGAAATGCTGTAAGTGGATTATTCAAAATTGGAATTGTTTATCGAAAATTGGTGTTGCAATACATTCTAACCAAGGGTTCAATAAAAATTGTTACAAAAGTAATTTTTCGAATATATCGAAGTTTTAGAAAAAATGTTTAAAAAATAACGAGTTTTGATTAGTCACTTTATTATGTGCAATATGAAACCTTGGAAAGCATTTTCAAAATGGAAATTAAATTAGTGTTGATAACTTTTTATGAGCAAAACAGAAAAAAAAAAGTGGTAACGCCTCATTTGTTTTTTAAAGTTTGGTCTTCTTTTCTTAGCATTGTTTAGAAATGTTTTCCAATTATAACTTAACATAATTAACACTACAAATTTTCAGTTCCAATGCACCATTTCACAACGTAGAAGAAGTGAAAAAATAAATTTCGTTTTTATCAAAAAAAATTTTGCGATCAAAATGTCCCAAATGGATCATAGACCACATAACAAGGCAAACCAAATAAAACGAGTCATCAAGTTCTCGTACGTAAACTTATACACAATATCAATTATATGTGAAATGCAATGCCGCAAATTACTTGAAGAATGTTTTTCATGCGATTTGGGTGAGACTGGCCTCCATTTATCATCACAGCCTATTTATGCAGAGATACTGGCTTTACTTTCTAGACATAAATATTGTACTCGGAGTATTAGACCACTATTATTTAAATTGTGAATTTGTTAATACACTTCCGGTTAATGTGATAAACAAAAATGAAACATTGATACCAAAAAGTCTACCGATTCCGTGATGCAAAATAGTTCCCACTCGTATTATTGAATCACAGGCTTTCGAGCATCTCCCACGTCGCGGCGACAGCGGCAAATACAAAACGCACACAATACAACAAACTGCAAAATGCATCCCCTCATCAGTCCGAGGGTTGCAAAGAACCGTGCGACGCTTGCCCGGAGAGTACTTTCCTCGATCTCTTTTTGGACCACCGACGCCGACGACTCGACGTCGAAATTTGCGTTTAGTGACGCGCTGTTCTTCCTTCGAGGCGGTTCGTTATAAACGAGAGTTCAAAAGTGGGATTGCGAAATTTATATTTAGTGTCTGTGGCGCCAAGTTTGATTTACGAACCGCGGTGTTACCCTAAGGTGCATTCCATTTCCTAATTATCACTCACGAATTTGGATTGTTGGCGACTTTTAATCACGCAAGTAATTTGAAAATAAGTTTTTGTTGGTGTGGGATATGGGTTTCACCGCTCAATTGGCCGCCGAATGGCAAACGATACATAAAATTTAATGGGTTTTAAAAGTTATCGAAAAATACAAAATATGCAATAGACTGTCGATAAAAATGCTTTCTGAGAAATATACGCTGGATATTTAAATATAGGACGGTATTATCTACATATGTAAACATGTTTACATGTTTGTTCCCTACTGATAATAGAAGTTTTATCTGATACTTATTCTAAAGTTCAGTAGACTCCATGTATACTTTTCTCATACTCCCTTAATCGAATTTGGTATCAAGAACAATTCTTCAAATTTGATTTTCAAATGATTTTTTGATTGTTTTGCATTTGCAATTTTCTCTAAGTTTAGATGCATGTTTCATATTGTTTCACAAGTTTTCCATAGCTATTTTGAATGACAGTATATTCTAGACATTTTCTGAAATGGCATAAATTTTGTATCTTTAAAAGTGTTTTATAATGTAAGTTAACGCAGAGCAATGCCTTATAGAAGACAATATATCATGTCACTTTGGACCCTTATAACACGGAAGCGTCATCGATTGTAAATTTCCCATAGTGTAACATTTTTTTTTTACATTTATAGGATTGCAAAATTATCTCAGTACAATTATTACCTGACTTAAACTACTTTGATTCTAACCGGTTCATATAATTAACTTAGTTGTTGTATACTTTCATATACAACCACACAATTTATATTTTAAAATCAGTCATTTTTAATCAGTTAAATTTTTACTAGAAGTTTGACATGTTTTTTTATACTTGTCTTCAAAAGAAAAATGGGAGTTTGCTTGCCTCCTAATCCTCTAAACCTAAAGGAACATGACATGCAGATGTAGCGGTAGAGTCAAAAATAAATAACAATTAAACGGTCACATCGCAGTTGATGTAATTTTCACGTTGGAATTAATATACCGCTCATTAACATACGTGACCATTAAGCTGCGTCACATTTTTCGACGCAAAAAATTTTATACATTGCGGTTTAGATAATTTGTAACCATTACGGCCCAGTGCAACGTTTCATTAAAACAGTTCGTTTATTGACTTTACTAATTGATACTAGAAAAACATTTACTTTACTTTTTAGGTTACTTGATCACGGATGCAACCATAAGCAAATAACTAATTAGTTCTATAATATGAAGTAGCAACTGAAGTTTGGTTTTGCTATTTGTTTGTGTCCTTTTGTTGACCGTGACATCTTACATAGTTATAGCTTTTCTATTAATAAAATGATTTACACTAAACCGCCAAACTACTGAGTCCTGAGGCTCAATTGTTTAAATTGTGCATGTTTGGAAATTATTGCTGTTGTTTCAATGTAATTAATTAATTAAAATAATAATAGTAACATGTTTTGATATGAGCTTCTTTTCTTTCCCTTCTTTTTTTTTCTTTTTGTATTGCTTGCTTTTTGGTTTAATATTGAACCGTCTTAACATATAATTAATATTCGACGATTGTCATATTGTACTATTATAATTTTTGTTATTATAATTATCATTATAAATTTATACTTCGACATTTTTGACCTGTTAATCAACATCTCAACTTCAAATTTTTGTAATTTGGCTACTAGAAATTTTCATACGGACTGGTGCGTATATCAGGTTGAAATTTTCAAAATATAAAATATTTACGTATGCCAAACAAAATATAAATGTTCTTTTATTTGCTTAAACCAATCAAAGTAATTATTTTTTTAAATTAACGTTATTTATTTATAATACAGGGACAAACAGCCGAAAAGAGAAAACGAAAAATTGTGGAAACACACAAGACATTTTTTTGCAACAATCGTTGTTCATCTAATTGTTATGAATTTTTTAAATTTTGTTTGTAGCAGCTGTGTCGAATTTGAAATGTGCAAGTTATATTCGGCTCAATTCAAAGATTCAACATTCAAAATTTTATTATATTGATTTCAAAAAATAATAGAATGAATTGTTGTTTTCCTTCGACATTTCATGTCATTTGCTTAGCAAACATTGGTAATAAATAGTTTAAAAATGAGGTTGCTTTGCAACCATGTCAAATAAGTGAGAGTCGGAGATAATTAAAATTTAATCGAAAATTTCGAAATAATTTTGTATGCGCAGTTAAATCAAAATTCGTATTTAGAGCAAATACTCGTATGTATTTTCGGGATGACACTAACAAAACCTAAAAGAACGCCCTGTATACTTGAAATAAAATAACAACCGTGCCCCCGATACGAGTATCGCCTTTTCCACGATATGTTTCAAATGGCCCCAATTAAATGGCACAATCCTATCACGTGCCTGCCATAAAGAAAAACGGAAAATCTCAAAAGAAATAAGGGTGGAATGCGGTTGCTGTTTGCTTTTATTGAATACATTTCGTTACTGCCTTGTTTATTGAAATTTTCATTCGAAACTGTCCGTTATTTTTAAAAAGTTGACCGAATAATAAAATGTGCCGTATTTGCATATTGTTAAGAAAGTTCGACTTCGAAAAGAAAGCTGCTTGAAAGCCAATCTAGATCCCTGAAGGCCTCCCTAACTTGTTACCGGCGTTCTATATTATTCACCCAGAATAACTTTTTTTGACTCTAATGTAATTATAAATCATATTTCGGAGTCCCGGATATACCATTCATTTTAATATATAGTGTGATTCACGGCCTTATTAAATGTTCTATAGAACTAACAAATTAAACTTTTCCATATTGTCAGAATTAGTGATAATCTATATTGTATAATAATAGTTGTTTGCTTCAAGGTGGTAGACACTGATTCAGTAGAAATACTAAAAGGATGTCGAACTTCCATTGTCTTTATAATGAATAAAGACAATGGAAGTTCGACATCCTTTTAGTATTTCTAATAATAGTTGTATTTAATAATTTTACCTGCGGTTTATAAAAAAATAATAAATTATATGAGTATTTGTTTAGAAATTTTCGCAAATGAACTATAATATTTGCGTCTGCAAGGGATTCATAATCACCTTTTTTGCTCATGAGTTAGGAAATTCAAGTGTTTTAAGTTTGTAATATATCACAAAGCATCAAATGTAAAAAATGTAGTCTTTTCCTAATTTTAATAATAATGAAAAATATATTCCAAGGATCTCCACAACTTATATTATTTCTTTGGATAGATGCTTGCATTTTAGGTGATTTTAGGTATAACACAGAGCGCTCCACTACATGCATATTATTGGGACTTCATTATAACAGATACAAGTTGATTCAAAACTAAGTTATTTTTGGGTCATTCAGAGACATACAAGAAATTTTGTTTACATAATGGTCGCCAAAAAAAAATTCTTTATACTATTTTCTCTTCAAAAGTCGTAGGGGATAATAAAGTTTCATTTTTTTGTTCTCAGAAATTTACAGTTACTCATACTGATATTTTGTATGTTTAAATCGTCACTGCTTAAATTAATTTGATTAATTAATGTATTTTAATACCTGCTCCATGTATTAAAATACTCGATGCAGAACAGTTTTGGGACAGCTAAATTAGGTTTTGCGGCCATTTAAATGGCAGTCACGTCTTCGTAGTCGCGGTTGTTAGAGAATTATATATAACCTTGTTTCGCTTATAAATTTATTTGACAAAGTATGGAAAAATATATCACTGCGGTGCCTAGATTCCACTTCCGAAATCAGTTTTAATTAAAGGACAAAACTGAATTATTAAATTTTTTTCGTTTGTGCGCGAATTTTGAAAACGTTTCCAAAATTCTTAAGTTATATATTTTAAGATCATCTCATACACGGTTAAGGCGGAGCTTAGCTTTACATCTCAACTTATTTTATCCTATTCTTTAAATTTATATTTACATTTAGGTTTGTTCATGTTAATGCATACTCACATTATCTTAAATTATACGGGTTCTTCAATAATAGTCCAATGTTATAATTTACAACACAAAGTAAATATACGATCGTCTAATAAAATAAACCCTTAAATTTATAGACAATCACACTTAACCGATTATAACGAAATACGATACATACTAAAATTTATAGTTAAAATATTATTTAAAGTTAAAAAACGTATTTTGGAGTAGAATACATTTAATTCTTCGTTGAAAGAAAGTCCCCTTTAATTTCACTGGACAGATGAATAAAAAAAATTCACTGCCTTAACCTTACCTAAGGAGTAGGTTAACAAATAAGAAGAATGAAATATAAAATAAACCCTTAAATTTGACAATTACACTTAAGCGATACTAACGAATTACGATACATACTTAAATGTATAGTTCAAATATCATGTAAAGTTAAAAAACGCATTTTGTAGTAGAATACATTTTATTCTTCGTTGAAATAAAGTCGCTTTGATTTCACTGGACAGATGAATAAAAATAATTCACTGCCTTAACCTAACCTAAGTAGTAGGTGAACAAATAAGATTTTTAAAAAATGTGCCCTGCAGTGGTAAGAAAATGAAAGAAAAATTATTCTACTAAAGCATTTTAACTTTAAATTAGCTCTATCATAGAGTGCATACAGGAAAAATTGCAGATGAAACTATTTAGGCTGATATATATTCCTTTTTCTTACAAACCAAAATGAAATATTCAGCAGTAGTATCGTACAAAAGTAGTAAGTAATAAATATACAATTACATATAACTGTATTATTTCAACAAATTAATTGAGCTCCAATGGTACTATATATTACTGATTTGAATTTAATACTGTTTCGGGGAAAATTTCTTTTCACTGCAAATTCTAAATAATAAAAAAAATATATATTTTACCAGCTAATTAGAAATTCTATATTCAAATATATTACATTCTTAAAAAAACAAAGGACAGTATCCATGAGAGTTTTATTGAAAATGCCTAGGCACTTCTGGGTTCAAAATTGATTAAAAGAAATAACGGTTTTGAATGACTTGGAAAAATACGAACAATGAGTTGATTATTAATTTTTCTGAATTATCATTTTATTGACTTTGGCTCTGTAGT